ATTTTCCTTGGCCAATTATGCAATTCACATGGTACCTAATAAATTGGATTGTTTTGGATATCATACCCTTAAAGAGCAAGGTCAAGTAACAAATATTTCGAGTCACTGCAGCGTGATGATTACGCTTTCATTATTATTAGAAAGGTACCGCAATATATGCACACCCCAAGCATTCAAAATTATGGGTGTTCATCATTTAATTGTCTTATTAATTGGGATCCAAGTTCTTCAAGTTATATTCGATATGTTTAAGGATGAATGAGTGTGTGATATATTTCTGCTTGTCTCAATGTAATTCAGATTTTTTGTTTTTGTATTTTTTTATTATTTATACTTAATAATTATACAGTAATAATAAAATTTGTGTCTTAATAAATAACTTTTTCATGACTAATTTTTTTCTGTGTTTCTTAATTACAATCCTTTTATGATTCGATGGACGGATTGGACTCAGGTCAGATTTTCAAGTAGATTGTTCTACTTGATAGATTTATCGTGCATGTCTTGAGGGACCTTAGCAATTATTAAAAGATTATGACAAAGTAAATTAATAAGCAGATTATATTATTACAAGTTAACGAAAGTAACAAAAAATATTGGAAACAAATGTAGAATAGAGACTAAGGAATTGAAAAATCAAATAGAACAAAAGTCAATGAACAACTTTGTTTTTTAATTAGAAGCTTTTAGATTTCCCCTTTAAACCCCTATATACCTTAAAGAGCATTTTTTTTTTTTGCTGAGTGTGCGTACAAATATTTCAACTCCTCATCTCTATCTCTAGATCAACCATCCATTTATATTTTATAGACTAATTAAGTAACCACCATTTTGGGGTGGAGAGAGTGAAAATTATTGATTTTAGTTAATTGTATTGGTGTTTTTACGAGCTTAGCTTTAATTAAATTAAATTCTCCAACCACCAAATCCAGATTTGGTAGATATATGTCGATATACGATTGCAAAAGTCTTGTGTAGTAATCACTGCAAAGCTTGCAGCGTACGTGTAACTAAATAAATTAATGTACTTGATCCCAGAAAGGTTGAAAGGGATTCAATTTTTTCATGTGCATGGTTTTAGCTTTAGGACACAAACAAGTAAATAGTTCAAATACATGTTCAATAAACTTTCATTATATAAAAGCTTGTTATAAATTTCACTATAAAATTTATTATATCAAGTTTTTATACAAAATATTGTAAGAATTAATCATATTGAAATTATTTTATATTATAAGTTCAACTCTTTCATATGTTTCTTAATTTTAGAATTTGTACATATTGAAAAACATATTCTTAATTTCAACTGTCTTTATATAGAGTCAAATGATGGTTTACTAATATTTTTTATTAAAAAGTTGCAACAAAACGTACAAAAAGTATATGATTGAACGAGATAGTATTGAAAAATAACATTGCATCTTATTCTAGATTTTTAAATTCTCAAAACAGTAACTAGTAGCTAGGTAGAAAGAATATTAACTGGTGCAAAGTGAAAGCACGGGCATAGTATATTAGTACACGTTAATTAACAACGGTTTCTGTCTTACTTGTTTTATTAATTGCATATACATTTATGGTTGGCAAAATTTACAGAATAGATTAATTACTGAATAATAAGCAGATTCCATTTTTGTGAATCAGCATGTATTAAAATCTGAGCAAGGCACCAACCATCTTAGTTGACACTAAAGTTTTCACTTTACCCCCCATGTAATTATCACATCAGGATTCTGACCTTTAATTAAAAAGATTACTCTGTACACTTTTAGAACGATCAGATAAGCATGTACCATGCATTATTAATATTGCCCTTAAAATGGAACCTCATAAATTTCCAACTTCCACTTTGTCTATCATATTGTAGTATCAATTATATACTGAATTGATTTCCTATGTTTTTATCAGTACGCAATAGCACCATTCCTTCTTTTGTAAATGGGAGAGATTATTGTACAATTCAAACTAAGGCATTAAACAAGTATGAGATGTCATTAATTCTTCCCACTTACAAAATTTATGTCCACCGGTAATAAATTAGTAACATATCATGATCAACAGTACAATAAACCTGAATTAACACATTATATATATACATCAAAATTCTCGAAAAATGAAAACAGATATTTGATATGTGTATATACAGTTATACACTATACACTAATTAAGTGGTGTTGAAAAAGGTTGTATTCACGTGGGGACAAAGATAAAGTAAGAGAAGAAGGTAATAATGAAGAGTTATATAAGATCAATGATGGCAACCTAGGATTTAACTATACTATAACTCCAACATTTTGAAGAAGGTTAATTATAATAGTGGTAACATAATTAATGTCATGTGTAATACTATGACTATGAAAATGATGGTGGTTGCGATGGGGTTATCACACATAACCCCATCTCTGAGTACCAAAAAATTCTCAAGGTGCATCATTCCTCTCCCTTAATTATATAATAAATTTTACTCCACAACAAGCTAATTTAAGATGTTGGGACATGAAAATAATAATAAAAAAAAGATATATTATTTATCAATGAAATTTCATCAAAATAAATATCAATAAATGATAAATTAAAATAATAAATAATAAAATAAATAAAAATAAAAGTTTAGAAAAAATGGATTAAAATACGTTAAACGTTATTCTTAGATATAAATGCTCCGTTTCCACACTTAAACTAATGTGCTTTCTTCATACCCTTTTCCTTTTAAGACCGTGTTTGGTTTCCATTATTCTGCAGGCTTTGTGACATCCAAAATAGCATTTTGTGGCCAAGGCCCATACAATGGGCTGGGCCTGTGTAACTGGTTGTCGACCCTTTTGGCGTGCGGTGGAGTTCATTGTGGATGAAATGTTCAAGGGACCTTATGAGCCCCATCATGGCCATGGACTCCAACATCTAATATAACATGTATGCCATGCTTATTTCGTCAGTCACTCCCAAATACTCATGGGGGATATATTTAAAGAGTTAATCTTTCATATATATTGTTAGTGTAAAGTTTTTTACACTAACAACTAATCAAATATTTTAAATTATTTTATTTTATTTTTATTTTATTAGAGTTGATCATTTTTAGTTTTAGTGTCGAAATATATATCTTTTATAAATATTTGTTGAAAAAATAATTCAAATTTTTAAATTCAAATCTCTAATATAGTATCTAGATTTTAAAAAATATTGATTCTTTTAAGATATTGTTTAGAATTGAAATATATTATATTTATTTTAGAGATTTCTTTCCACTTTTAAAATTGTGATGTAAGGTCGATAAATAGAGACTATTGAGATGAGAAGAATCACTCGACCTGTAGAAGGAGTCACCGCTTTAAATGAGAGAGGAGGTCATATGAAGGAGGGTTTCCAAGTTTCGCTAAAAAACTTGTGAATGATAATTTTCAAGTTTTGCCAAAAAATTTATGAAGAAAGGATTTCCAAGTTTCACCCATAAAACTTGTGAGGAAAAGGTTTTAAAGTTTAACCCACAAAACTTGAAGGAAAGATTTTCAATATATATATAACACATTTTGAAATAAATAATGAACATTCTTATAGACGTAAACATGAGGGACTGAACCAGGTTAAATAAATTCGTGTGATTTTTTTTCTATTTCTTTTATAATGTTATTTTAATATATTTCTCATTGTGCATAAAAGAAATAAGTTTTTTTTCCCAACAATTTCATACTCATTTAATAAGAAATTTTAGTCGCATTATAATCTTTTATATCAAATTCTTAGTTCATTTTTTAAGACAAAACAAGAATCTACCTCAAATTCAAGTTTTCTATCCCATCCATTTCGAATAAATAAATAAAAATAAGTAAAATATCTTACTTAAAATTTAAATTTTTAAAAAAATTATAGTTCTAGAATTTAAATCATACAAACCAAATTTTGTATACATTCTAGAAATAACACGTGGCAACAAATACCACAATTCGAAATAGGTAGAAACAACTTTAATAAAATTATTTAAATTTTTTAAACATTATTAAGATATATATTTAAATTGATCTTAATGATATATTTATATTAAAACATGTTTTTTAATTAAAAGAATGTGTGAAAATTAATTCTCTAACATAAAAAACAACAAGAATTTTGTTGGTTGCTGACAATGTAGAAGGTTTTGTTAGATACGAGTTTGGTTTTGGTTAAAAATACATGTTTTGAGCTGTCCTAGTCTATATAAGTTTTGTCTAAAAATATATTTTGACGATTTAAAACCAAAATAAAAGTAAAAAATAAGCATATGTGACTCTATAAGAATTTAGTTGTTTATATAATATAAATATATTTTTAAGGTCTACTTTAATATTTATGATAACTTATTTAATAACATACTTTACAATAAAACATAAATTTATCATTCAATAAATTTAATAAATTTGACTTTTTATATAACTCAACGTACATCAAATTTAAAAAAAAAAAAAATATACAGCTTTAATACATTATAATAAATTTAATATAGTAATAATATTAAAAATAAATGTTTAATTTTATTTCTTTAAATAAATTAGTATTTTAGTCTTAAAAAAAATTTAAAGACCTAAAGAATTTTGACCTGATTTATTTTCATTTGAAAAGTCTAACCCAGTAGTATTCACAATACCTTAATCATCATAAAATGATCTAACTTATGCTTACATGTTTATAATGTCCATTTTTTTTTCGTCCCTAAATTATTCATCGCCGATAGTAGTGACTAATATTTTCGCTATGTTGGAGACACTTTAAAGAGTGAGATAGTTAGCCCAAAGAATAATAGAGATTATAACACTGATAACGAGAATCGTATATAAAGTCTTTTATTTTAATCTTATCCTAATAGTTTCTCTTTTTTTTTTAAATTAATTTATTTATCTTATTTGATAAAAAATAAATATTTAACTTTCACTTTATTTATTTTATTTATTTATTTACTTTTTTCTCTTGAAAATTAAAATTATATATTGGGATATAAAGGAAAAGAATAAAAGATTGTTATGCGTTGACTGCAGTAAACTAGAATTGTTGTGGTATGGTATGGTATGGTTGGCAATGGCGGAAGCTCCTTCTCTGGTTTCTGTGTGCATGGACGCTCTCTCGCACCAACTTCTCCATGAATGCGACGATCTTCTTCTCTCCTCCATTTACCACCTTCCTTCTCACTTACTCGACACCTTAATCACGCGTTTGCCCCCTCTCGCGCTTCGCACATTCCACCTCCACCTGTACCCTCCCTCACTCTATCACTCCCCTCTTCAATCCCTTTCCCCTTTCCCCTACTAACCCTTTTCCACTGCAACAGGCCATTCGACCACCACTCCACCAAAAAGAGGAAACGCGCAAGGTTCAGCTTCCGCACCCTTTCACCTTTAATTTCCTTCTGCTTACGGACACTCTCGTTTCGTTCTTGTTTCAGGGAATGGAATCTCAATTCGGCTTGGCAGAGTTTGTTTCAGCAACGCTGGCCTCACCGCCTTCACCGGATTCACCCAACCGATTGGCAGCAGCTCTATTGGGAAACTCATTTGCAAGAGTATGTTCACTGTAAATTAACTCTTGTGTTTGCTTTCGCTCCAAATTTACGTTTATTTACAATCTGCTTGAAATGAAAGTTGTCTAGATCAAGCAGCGGAGGTGGCTCTAATCCCATCGTTTGTTGGATATATCGGTGACATACGCATTTCCGGTAGCTGCACAACCCACTTCACTGACTCTCCCTTGCTATCCTTTTAGTTTGTTATTGGCAATTTATTGAATTTTCTTTACTTTGATCTTCTTGTTTTCAGACAGCATATTGAAATCTATTGGCTTTGTGGGGAATTCAAGCCACTCGACTTGTGACCAGTCAAAATTATCTTACCATTGCCTACAATTTGGCAGCCAATTGAGGTGAGATGTGAAAATTTACACGGCAATGATTGGTCAGGGTCTCCTTTAGATAATAAAGGAGAGAGTCAACAAACTTCATTTTTGTGTACTTGGATAAAATAAAATACATACTTTTCTAATGGTAAAAGCTCAAGTGTTGAATTGTTAGTTCAACTTGCTTTGATTATCAGTTTCAGATTCAGTTCACTAGTTAAGCTGTGTTTTTCATCAGTGTTCTCACAAGGTGATAAGTAGGTTGCGGAGATACCCCCAAACCACATCAATTTGACGCAGTGAGACAGTATGTTGGTAGGAACCAAGAATTAGGGAAGAGAAAGAAAAGAAAGATTTTAATGAATATGTTGAAAAGAACACAAAATAGAAGAGAAATATCTCCTCCAAGGGTTTCTCCTTTCACAAAGAGCTAATGCTCAATTTACAAATGAATAAATCTGAATCCTTTTCTCCCCCTTAGTCCTCCTATTTATTTATGTTACTGACTCACAAGCAAACTAATATTCTAATTAACACCCCTTCACTGTAGTCCTAACTCCTAACATATGGTCATATCATTGTAGTGATGTGTATATTAAGAAAACTAAAATTACTCATAATGACAAGTGATTACCCAATTATGATTTAAATGCAAATTAAGTCATGACAATACTTGAAAAGCATAATATAATCCAATTTGACTAGAAACGTAACAATGTAAATGCACATCAAACCAAATGCAAGTCAAGAGGCCAAGCCAGTCACAATGACAAATATTACAATTTACAGAATAAAGGGAGATATCATAGGCCAACTCTCTTAGAACAATAATTGATAGGTGAAGGCTCGTGAATGATTTTAATCCAACACCCACTCACACAACAGATAAATTCAGATTCTGTTTTTAGGGTTTTTTCTAGGATGGCTAGGTAATATGAAGTTCAAATGGTGTTGGTAGACCGGAATTCCCCTTTATATTAGATACCATTGGCTACTGAGTATTTCAAGCTAGAGTAAATTATTTAGTTATCTGAAATTGCACAATCTGGTTCCATTAGGCGCATCATCAAACTTGCTTCCCTCACTCAGGCTGTCTGAGACTCTGAGGTAGTGTGGCTGTTTTCTGCCCTGCCTACATGACCAGATGAACCACTTTTGACAAAGTTTAATCTTGGCTTTTGTCCATAGTAACAATGTATGATGATTATAACCCTGCTTGTAAATATGTTTACATATTTCTACATTTTGTCTTGACCAATTGTTTAATACCTTATTTCACTTTGTCTTGATGCAGTTGTCTGAGGCTGCAAAATGTTCTATGTAATGAAGAAACTAGTGTAAGTTGTGTTTTATAGAATATCATGAACGACTCGATTAATTCCGGAATTCATTTGATTATTATCTTTTCAGAATTATGGTCATTATATTTTCATTTGGTCAAATGCATATGTAGCTTTTACAAGCTTACAACAAGTGTTAACAATTACTAGTGTTTATATATGAATTTAATTTCTATGCACTATCAGTGTAAAAAATTCATTGTCAACTAATCAAAAACCATCATTTGTATTTGTATGATATTTAAGATAATTAGTGTAAAATTAACAAACTTACCATATATGACAGTTTATGATTAGATGGCAGTGTAGGTAGGAAAACTCTTTATACTATTAATCATACACTGCTTAGTGTTTACTCTGTATATTATAAGATCATAATTTAATGTAGTTTAATCCTTGAACACTCTTATAATTGACAAATTTTTATTTTAGGTTTTTTTAATAAACTATTAGAGATCTCACATCGATTAAAGGTGAAGCCTTATTAGAGTATATAAGTGAGGAACAATCCTCACTTTACAAGTCAGTTTCGTAAAGTTAAGTTAGACATCAATCTACTTTCTGAAGATGGTATTAGAACCTATCTTAACAATTGTTGTTGGGTTTATCTTGTCACCCGTTATCAGACTGTTATCAGACTATCTACAAATGTCCAGTCTTACAAACTTCATACTTGAGATGTCCAGTCCTCAATGTGAAGAGGATGTATTGGAGATCTAACATCAATTAAAAATAATGCTTTATTAGAATATATAAGAGAACAATCTTCATCTTACGAACCGATTTTGTTAAGTTGAGTTAAGCACCAAACCACTTTCCTAAGATAAATCACCCATAAATGTTTACAGCAGGTAGAGGAATGAGTGGTAACAAAATATTAAAGGTGCATGGAGTTATTAATAATACTATAAAAGTGTTTATCTGGGGGATGTTTAATTGAGATAGATGGGAGCCTGAATCAATAGGGAAGAGGCAGAGATTGTAGCAGTCCCAAAGACAGTAAATTATAATAAAGGGGGGGATTTGCATAAATAGCAAGGAGGGAGAGTTGGTGAGGTACTTCAGATTTGGATTGGAAATTACAGTAGTTGGAGAATCCAAATCTCTCAAATACCCAGATGGGATACTTTCTGTGTATCATACAATTTTTTTCTAAATTTCATCTCTTTAGTGCTTGAAAACCATGTAACTCGGTATGTTGTCTTATACTCTGACTTGAAGGTTTTGTTGAGGGAATGCAAGCTGCAGAGTCTGGTACTAAGATGTATCAGATCCAGGGGACAAGTAAGCTTCCTTCCTCCTATAGATCTATATAATCTGTATTAAAGAATTTGTAATTTCGTACTTATCTGTATATAATATATCTTTCCAACTCTTGAATTAATTGTATTTTTCAAGTTTTGGTCATTCTGTGATAGTGCTAAAAAGAGCTAAAACAAGATGTACTTAAAGGCTTGTGTATCATGATACTAGTATCTTGGGCATAAGCATTTTGGGCCATGTGTATATGATTAGTTTACTTGAGTTGCATATATTATATACTGATTAAAGTAAAGGTGAGATACCATGCCGCTTTTATGCATAGTTTCTATTAATGGAGACTAAAAGTAGACAGTCATATATTTAGCTCTTATATATGTTTCTCTTTCTCTCAAGGGGTTTAGGGTTTAGGGGCACCTTTTGAGCAAAGAGGAGAATGTTTAAGTTTCATACTTGATAGCACCTTCCAGATCAGTGTGTTAAAATATATTACTTTGCTAACATGATTGATTATATCAATAGTTTGTCCAATTGTAAAATGCATCTTAATGACCTTGTTGATGGTTTCACATGCACTGTTTCACAGATTGATGGATTATGCAAACTTATTGCTCAACATCGTAGTACCTTAACATCTCTGGAATTTGTTCACTGTACACTCTCCCTAGATTTTATTAATGCAATATTTGGTTCGCTAATCATAGAAAGTGTACAAAAACATGGGATCCAACATTTGTCAATCATCGCCTCAAGTTTTCTGGAACCATGCACAGTTTCTTTACCTAGTGGACTTGTCTCTTTTTTGTCTTTGGGAAGGTACATGAATGTAAATTTACCTTTTTTATTTTTTTTGTTTTATTGTTGGCAACTTTGTTCACACTTTTTAGTTTTATTCATGTTTGACTTGTTCTCTAAATGATCATAACTACTTCAAATACTTATTTTGATTTTAATATAACTAAACAACTGTTGATGCACCTTCTATTTATCAAGGAGTTCTGTGTATAGTTGTTTCTCTATTTTTTTCACTTTGGTTAGCAGTTGGTGGCAGAGAAGGACATCTTATATATAGCTTCCACTTGAGTGTAATTTTACAAGATAATATGTTTATGACATCAATTTGAGAGATGATGAAATTGACTAGCCTCTTGAAAAGCATGCATCTTGTGATAACATTAGATTGAATACTTTAGTCAATCTCCTACTATGTTTTCACATTACGAAGTATTTGTTGGAATATACTTAGTAGAACTAGAATTAATAGCTAGTTTCCAATATCATTGGAATCTTAGTCTTCTAGGAGGTGCAATTCACTCTGTATTTAATTCATTAATATGTATATATAATCCTAAGTATGCTGAGTGCAATTCACTCGAGCAATTTTACAAATCCTTTAAGTTTCTTAATCTCTTCAAGAGTACCATTTTAATCATTTCCAATTGTTTGCTTAATGATTTGTTATGCTATTTGCTGTATTTCACTTGGACATATAACTAGATAATAGCTTTCCGGTCCATTGAGTATTTTCCTTCAATCATGCTAATCTGCTACTAGGTCCTTGTGCTCATTAAAATTATCTGACAACCACCATGGACGGACTTTTGCCAAAGATCTTTTTGTAACTCTTCTCAATGTTTCCTCTGGCATATCTGTCCTTGACCTTTCTGGGAATAAAGTAAGTTTTTCACCTGCATATTCTGTATTTTGTTGTTATTGTAAGCTGACAAAGTTCCATGCACTTGCTTCAAGATAGCAGGATGGCTTTCTGATTTTAACAGGAAATTCTTGAGTGGTTCACATCTGTCTTTTGGAAATGGAAAGTCCTTGAAACTGTTGCGTGTACTCAATCTGAGGTAGCACCATTCTAAATATGGTTGTATTTTTCTGTGTAATTAATGAGAACTCCTTAAAAATCAACTTTTATTGGCTGTGATGAATAATAGAATAAAAATGAGGTGGTTTCTCTATAATTAAATTATATTTTTCATTTGGTACATCTTGCCATCTTGGTGCAGTGTCCCAGTGTGAGCTACTGTAAAACAGTGTTGAAAAGCTTGTTGCATTTATCTTTTCACTGTCGTCAGTGATTGATGAAGAAAAAGATTTTTAATCTGTTTATCATCTTATAGGGAAAACAATTTAGGAAAAGATGACATAGAAAGTCTTAGATATGCTCTTGAACATGCGCCTAACTTGGAGGAGCTGGACATAAGTGACAATTCTATTGAATTTGAAGGAATCAGGTCAATTGTATTTCCATTTCTAGGTATAGTTTGAAGATATGAAATTAGAGTTGTCTCTAATTGTGTATCATGAATCTTACAGGAATTTAATTCCCTATTTTGTTGGAGCATCTGAAATGTCTCCCGGCATAACTTGCTTGAAATTAGAGAATTGTGATCTGTCCTATGTTGGAATGAATCATCTCCTTCATGTCCTTTCTACTTACAAAGGACCATTGAAGTCTCTTTCTATTGCTGACAACTACCTTGGCAGGTTTGTGTATAGCAATAAAATCTCATTTCATCACTGAATTCATTTCTCCATTTGTATTTTGACTGGGTTTTCTTATATAGTCAAGTAGCTAGCGCATTGGGGAAACTTTTGAGCTCCCCAATCGAAGTACTTGACATTTCAGGCATTGGCTTGGGTTCTTGTGGTTTTCAAGAGCTTCAAAATCTAATAAAAGAGGAGCTTAAGCTGGTGAAGATTAATATAAGGTCAAGATTTATACTTAATGTTTTGATGTTGCTTTTAATGTTGCACATACAATCATGTGACATGTTTTCTTTTTTTGGTTCAGCAAAAATCGTGGTGGCATTGAAACTGCCAAATTTTTGTTCAAACTCTTGTCACGGGCTCCACAACTTGTTGATGTGAATGCAGCCAGTAATCTTATGCCAATAGAAGATTCACTGACCATCATCTGCTCTGCATTAAAGTTTGCAAAAGGTATGTTAGTGTCTGTTCTATCGGTGATCTCTTAGCTCTTAGATGGTGGCATGTGGTTGTAACTTTGTGATTATTAACTTTGATTAGTTGTTAAAGCTTTTTTGGTTGCGTGGCCACTGGTAGTATAATATTATAGGCAAAAGAAGCTATTAACTTCAGCTAGAAGATTACTCCTAGTACAACCTAGATTTTTACTGTAATAAAGAGTGCTTTATATATTTGTTTCTTCTATGACAGTGAAAACATTTTAAATCTAGATAACTAAAGTATGCTTTGAAGTCTCAATTTGTTTTCTTCTGATTTAACTATGTTTAGTTATCTTGCCTTTAGGTAATGTTCAATGTATAGACTTGACGGGACATATATGGGACTATAAGCCAGAGGATGTTTCTTCATTCACTGAATTTGTATATAATGGATTACCTATAGTGGTTCTTCCGCCGTCATCAACCTCTGCTGCACCTCAGGACCATGATCCTTAGAATTAGAATTTTGTGATTTTAATTTGTGTTGCAAGGCATATGCAATTAATTAGTTGTTTTTGTTTCTTTCTATATCATTATGTATGTTAGCATAGTTTCATGCATAATGCTTGCAAAAAATTCATTGGCTGTTCCATGCCTCGATGGTTTACTGTACAACAACAAAGCTTTTTTTTCCGGTGTATGTACAACAACAATGTTAGGGAAGGGAAATTTAACTTCTGTGCATATTGATTGGTTTCTCTTTACTGTGTTCGAGCAATCTGATCTTTAACCTTCATTTATGGGGTTGTTTTTCTTCCTAGTCTACCTTGTGTTTTTAATTCTAATGTAGTTTGTAGTTCATTAGATGCTGTGCGACGGGACATGCACGATCTGGTTTATCAACTATTTGTTTTTTAGTTACTTATATACGAACAGTTGTCGGTGGTATACGAACAGTTGTCGGTGGTTTGGACAATCTACTGTTCATTTCTATTTGAATGATTTTGCTCCAAAGCATGTAACTGGTTTCCAATCTCCCGAAGTTGCAATGTATCCCCTTCTGGGTAGCAAATTAGTCTATAAACTGGTTTAGAGAAAGTTGCAATAATGACAGGTCTCAGCCTCGGATCCACTTACCTTGGAATGCAAGTGACAATGTGACATCGCTTTTAATACATGTGTCCGTGCTGCTTTGCTTTTTTGCGCAGATTATTGAATCTTTTTATCCCCAGATACCAACTATTATGCTTGCATCTGTGCGCAACGCATATTTGGAAACAAAAAAAATGGAAAATCTTGTGGAAATTCCGCAGGGGTTTTAACTTGGGATTAATTTGTAATGACTGATCACGCAACAACCATGTAATAATTGAATTGCTGCAAATTGATAGTGACATTTTAGATATTAAGGTAATTTAATTAGCGTCAAACTGAGTTTTTAAAGGACTAATTTCGTGATTAAATTCTTTTAAAAACTGACAGATGTGGCAGGCATCTAGTTTTAGAAGATTAAATTTAGAAATTTTTCAAAGTTTTCGGTACAGTAATTATGTCGGAATCTAGGTTGTTTTTCCCCGGGGGAGAAGGGTGTCTTAAATGTGAGTTTAACTTTAACATTCGTGCGGGTCCACCTCAAAGTTATTGGTTTCATAATAGACCTCACCTCCTTATCCTTCATTGTCGGACCTGCATCATCACAGTACCAGAAGAAAGTAACCATCTGAGTCTTTGTGAAATGAAAGATGAAAAAGACATCCCAACCATGAGGAGGTGGACACTGGACAGTGTTTGGTCATCTTGTTATGGAATCCTTGAAGAACAGTACGAGGAAGCAGGTGCACTATGACAAATTAATTATGTTCTTACACTTGGCCCTCTCACTTCAACATTCTTTTGCTAAACTTAATTAAACTCAGTCAACTATACAAGTATGGGTCATAATGGAAGTAACAATTGTCCCAGTACCTCATCTTTATGTGTCGTCCTTTTCTTTTTTAACGTTTCATCTGTATATTCTATAATTCTCTAGCCACTCAAACCAAGTGAATTACATGAAGGCTGAGTAGGTATAGCACTCAATAAGGTGACTTTTGACCCATGTATTGTCATTCTTACCTTTTTTTTATATATTTTTTTTCCGTAACAATCAAATCTCTCCATTCTAGTCTACTGTCTAATTAACAATATGGCCATATGGAGGGTCATATCTCTCCATTCATTTGATTATTATTTTATAAAGTTCATATTTCATGTATAAAGGTTTTGGACACACCTTACGAACTGCATATAGATTCTTAAATCATAAGGAATTAGTTTCAATATAGTAGACAAATGTGTCTCATTCCAAATTTACGAGATGCTACAGAAGACTATAAACTGATGTCCCTACACCTTAAAATACACAACACTCCCTGGAACTCGCATCAGCCAACCTGTAAAGATGAAAACAACTCTTTTATTTTTTGTTTAATTGAACTCGGACAATGTTTGTATATAAAACCTAACGACTAACGTGATCAAGCAAAAGCGAAAGTCGACAACTCTTTTTCTGAAAAAAGAAATCATATATTCTTTTAATATTTTTTAATCTTTAACTATGTCCAAAACGGGTTGTTCACAAGGCTTTGTCATGAAGTTATCCCTCCCCCTCCAATGTCGACACTCATCCCTTCTCAAAATCCACTTAACAAACATTATATAATAATGTCATTGAAAGACCCGTGAACAAACATCTTTTTATTATTATTATTTTTTTTAATCTGGTGGAACTTCATTTCTGTTTTTATGTGGAGTCTTAACCATCATTGCGTGATGAAAATTTGAAGATGATGCAATGAATCATGGGACCATCTCAATGTCTAGTTTACACGCTGCCATTAGACGACAAGAACAAGTGAGACTCTTTTCATATTTGCATGTTTGAATAAATTTCTTAAAATGATCACCTAATAGACACAAATCATACATCATTCATACATTTTTCCCTACAG